GGAAAAATGGGCAGCGTGAGGATTGGAGTGACTTTGACAAGGGCTAAATTGTGATGGCTAGAAGACTGGCTCTTGTGGGGTGTTCCCGGTCTGCAGAGGTCAGTACCTAACAAAAGTGGTCCAAGGAAGGAAAACGCTCAAATTGCTGAGAAGTCGAAACAAGCTCGAACAACAACTCACTGTTACGTAGACTGTTGAACAGAGGCATGCACAATATTAACAGGTTATGTGTCACAAGTTGTCACTGTATCAGTATTATTTCTTCCAGCATACTATAGTGCCCCTACTGAGTCTCCCACAGAGTAGAAAAACCATGAAAGCCATGAAAGGAAATTGAATCTATCCTCTGGCTTTCCAGAATATCATTGACAATTGCTGTTTGTCATACAGTGTGCTCAGCTTATATGTCATCACATCACATCACACACAGTACATGTTGATGGTCAGTGTATTTTGCAGCCAACGGATTTTTGTTTTGAAATAAGGAAACTAAAATCAGGAAATGAGCCGTTTCCCAAATACCAGTTATCAGTAACGGAACAAAAAACAGAGAAACATAAAATGGAAAATGGGTTGTTTTCCACCTTTTATTCCTCTATTTATAAACAGTAGTTGGGAAACAGCTTGTTTCCCAGTTGTCAAAAGCTCAGTGCAGTAGTCAGCTGGGTGAACTTGTCTTCCATGCAGACTTCATCTCGCTCTCTGGTTCTGGATGTTGGAGAGGACCGGCTGGTGTTGACGGCTCGGCCCTCGCTCTTCCATCTCGACATCTTCCATCCCTTCCTCATCGACCAGGAGAACAGTGTGGCCCAGTACAACAACAGCACTCAGGTATCACTGTTGTGTGAAGTATAGTATACTTCACACAACAATCTTATACTGTAGCACCGAGACACAGCAAACAGCACCACCAAAAACAGGCTATGATTGTGTGCAAACATTGTGACACACTTAAGTGTACAGTGTACCTTGCACTGGAAAAATGAGTGCCACTCGTACAATGTTCTCTTACCTAAGAGGAGAAAACATTGGTAATTCCCAGAAATCAGTGGGTACTAACAAAATAAGAATAAATCAGGGATACGAACAAAAATAAAAAATGTAAAATTTGGTGACGTGAATTTAAAAAGTAAGACATTAGGTAAAAGAACAGTAGTTCTTACATCAGATAACACAAGTTCAACTCTAGACCAAGAATACTTTACATCTTAGCAGACAGACCCACATTGTATGCATATAGGTACACACACTGTGTCTTAACATACTTTTTTCCTGTTCTCTTTTCCCCAGATCCTCACAGTCACCATGCCTGTGGTGTCTTCATGAAACTACAGAAATATTGTCCAGATATTTTTTTTGTTTCAAAATGCTCCTGTGACAATAAAAGTGTTTTTAAAAAGTTTTTTATAATGATTGTTATTTGATTCATGACTTAAATAACCATTAAAACAGCGGCAGTAGGGATTAGAATTGGTAAGATTTGATTGATACCAATGTTATTTTCAATTCTGCTTATCAGTCTGATTTCCTTATTGATTCAAGGTCAATTTTCAGTTTTTCAGCGTCAGTGTAACTTTTCTGAGTCTAAACACAGTGCAGAAACAGAGTGCATGCATATGACTCTGATGTGCAAAAGCTTGTGTTAAAGAGAAGCATCTGCTAATGCTAATGCTGCTCCCTTGGTAACAGACGGCCTCTGAAGTGGTCATTTTACTGACATTGCATCTTTTTGGACTGTTTTTCCTCTCTGCCATGACTCCTCCTTGTTAGAAGTTTCCAGCAGTCTAGACACGAGTTTGACGTCAATGTCCTGCAGTGTGCAACTGTTATATAAACATGGAACAAGGAACTGAGAGCCTGAAGTAATACAATTTTCATTAATCAGACAATGTGGAGCTGATTCAAAAAGTAAAAAAAAAAATTTAAAAAAAAAAGTCAGCTTTATTGTCAATTACTTCACATGCACCAGACATATAAAGTAATCGAGAGGACGTTTCTCACTCTCCCACGATGAAACAGAGTGCACAACAGACAAAACATTTACTAATGCTAAAAGATAAAAAAAGATGGACAATAAAATATACAATAATATACAATACATATGGTGTGCAACAATTCTTATGGTAGTGCAAAAAAAAGGCAGTTGGTAATGGCAGCAAAAAAAAAATTATTTCAAATTCTTGATTCCAGTCCCTAAGCAGCAAGTCCTGATGATTGTCAAATGGCTTTCCTCATGCTGGAACAGGTTTCTGAGTGGGGTCAATAATAATGAAAAAGAGACTGTAAAGCTGCAGTAGGTAATTTTTATAAATTTGTTTGTCATATTCACTGTAACTTATCACTATACACTAACACTATATCCTGACAGTACATGAGACAGATAATCTGTGAAAAAAAAAACAGCTCTCGCTCCTAAGTGCTCCTAAATGGTGTTAGCAAGACCAATGGCACCAATCAGAGCTGGTAAAGTAATAAAGACTGCTTTTTGGTCTGATAGGATCAAGTGAAAGTTTAAGCAAATATGACAAAAAAAGAAAATATCCCCTCAGATGTAAATACGTTTTACATCGTTAAAGTTAATGACTTTTAAGCAGTCGGCACCAGCTTTTGTTATCACTTTTGATGATACAATTTGAAGTAAAACATTATTTGGCCACAAATAAAAATCCCTTGCCAAGTGTGTTATTTTTTTTTACAGCTTGCTTTACATTCCTGCAGTGGCAGTTGGAGGTTTACCTTCATCTGCGGTTGGCAAGTTGCCCATAGGGCAGCTCGCCAAAAGCCCCCACGAATCTCAGTGATGCTACAGCTGTTGAGGGTTTCTCTTCTAAGAGCTACACTCCGATCTTTCACCAGCCTTCAGCAGCCAGAATAGGTAGAGGTACTCAAACCTACAGGTTCCATGTTTTTCCAATTACATTGTATTTCTATCACAATCAAAAATACTTTATTAATCCTCGGGGGGAAATTTGTTTGCTACAG